GGGAGAGCGTTTTGGAAGAGTTTTTGTGTTTTGGTGTGGTTGCTGCATTGATTCTTGCTCGACCTGCAGGGCCACTGGGAAGAGCGTTTTGGAGGTGTATTTTTGGATGGCTTTTGGCAAGGCCGAAGTTATATCACCATTATGGGCCCCAAGGTAGACGAAGTTGGCCCCAAGATGGCTCCAAGGCAGCCGTAAGACAGCCAACCTGGCGCCTAGATGGCTGCACTTGTCCCCAACCTGGCGCCTAGATGGCTATTTCCATTTCACTGACTTCGGCCGTTCGTGCGCGGTGTGGGCGGCTGTCGACGCGAAGCGTGTTGAATATGAGATTGACCCTATAGTGGTTATTGCAAAGTTTTAAATTTTACTATGCCTTAGTCTAAAGAAAATTTTAGCTTTTGCAGTAAAGGTACCCTTGTCACACCCAATTGTCTTGCCAAACGCTCACCTTCTAGCTCTGCCATCGCAAGAGGGCCAGGCTCAAAAGCAACTTAACACTAGACGCCGATGAGCCTCAACACTAGTATGCACATACCTTCAATCACATTCAATCTTCTAAAAAACTGCACTCCCACAGCCTGCCACTCTCAAATTTTCGGGTCAGCAGAACACGCGGGTTCCTGAGAAATGCGGCCTGCTCCTCTACAATCTCGATTGACAGCTGATCCATCTTGATTGAAATGGCTTGTCAACCTGTTTTCATCCTGAGACACTAGCGCTGTCCCGGCGCCATCTTTGTCATCTTCCATCGACCTCTGCCTTGTACTTCTGGATGATGGGTTCTTCACGCTCAGGGACGCCAAAAACTGGTGAGCCAACAACTGGCGATGAAGTCGCGAATCGCGCCAGCTTCATGACATAATAGTTGCCATCTATCATCTATAGATTACATCCTTCACGCTGAAACGTCACCGTCCTTTTTCAATTTGGAGCTCAAAGACCTCTTTCGCGAAGGCTATATAAATCCAATTGTTCCCCCTCTACCTCGCAAACGTGATCGCGCCTCTGTCGCTTCCACGGCGCAGCTCTTTGATGATAGCTTCTTCTTCGCCTGCGTTTTGCTAGGTCTTTGGCCAATGTCCAACAGCAAGCTTCCGATCGCTCCAACTCACTGAAGACAAATTCATTGTTCCTCCTGATTCTACGAATGACCCTATATGTAGCAAAAACCTGCGTGGCAACAATCCCAAATTGCGCCGTAGCCTTCAACTTCTGCCATAGTCTTCGTTTTCCAGGACATGGCACCATGACGATGTTCTTTAGCCACACCAGGGTTCACAATGTCCTTGACGAATCTGGGGCGGTTCAGCTCTTCCTCCCCTTTGAACGCGCGTCAGTTCAAGAGCTTACTCCTGTGAATTGCAAACACTGAGGAGTTGCATGGCAGAGCCAAATGAAGTTGGAGAAAACACTTTCGTATTTCTTCCAGCGTGTGAAGTCCAGATCTAGGAGGCTGAAGGTTGCCACTTTGACATCGAGGAATTTGTCCACCATGAAGTTGGAGATTTCACCCTGATCCACATATTCTTCAAAGAGCTTGAGCCTTCTGGCTTCTCTCACGCGATCAGTCGATGTCAATCTTTTCACTAATGTCTTCAGCGTCCTTCTCCAAGATGGGTTCCATCTCAAACAGACTTGTCATGTTTCGTTCAATCTCACTCTTGTCTTCCATGATCACCACCTGATTCTCCTTGACTTGATCTCATAGGTCTGGTATAATCCAAGAGGTTCAGGGCATGAGTGAACAACTAGTCCTGCTTCACAGACCATTTCTCCAATGCCGGTCAAGCAAGTAGAAAAGGAGTTGGTCCCGGCACCAACCACTGAGAGAGGACGTCGATGTCCTGACTAATCACATGGAAATGGAGCTCCACCTCAAAAGTGAGAGTTTCTGCCTCCAAACCAAAAGATTTTCATCATATCGCTCAACCCACGTTTTCCATGGAGAAGAAGATTTCCTTCTGGCGTGCTTCTTCAGGAAAGAATCCTTGAAATTGGGCCCTGCACTGCTTGCGTGGTCCATGAGTGATCTGACAAGGTTGATGCATTTGAAGTCGATGGATATGAGAAAGCTTTCCGTGATCCTTGCATAGGTCCTCTGTTGGGAAATCAGATCTTTTGCCTTCGCCTTTCCCTTTTCCTTTTCCTGTTGAAGAGCTTTTGCCTTTTCCTTGGCCCTCGCTTCATGTTTCTTGTTTTCCTCCTCCTTTCATGAAGCCGCCGCGCTCAAATCCAATGGCAACCAAGGGCTAGCTGCCACGGGCAAGCGCAAGCTCCTTCATTCTTTTCCGCGGAGATATATGCATCATCCATTTGATCGCGAGCAGCTTCCAAGTCTTCGGGGATGTCATCCTGGACCATCATTATGGAAGGTCTCATGCGCACAGTCATCATCTTCTTCCTCTCCCCAAAACTCTTCATCCAATGTCCTTGTAGTTGGGCTTGCGGGGCTTGCGGTCACCGCCAAAGACTTTCAGAAGTGCTTTACGCACGGCGTTGCGCTTTGATTTCGTGTGCATTTCTGGGTCGAGTCAACAGACGCCACCCTGCGAGCAGATCACGCGCGTCAATTCCCACGTATCTCACCTGTTGACAGCGGGCGCGATGGCGTACCAAAGAGCTTAGAGGCGATTGAAAGCTTGAAAAAACTTTTCGCACCGCGTTGCCATTTCTACGGCTTCCTCGAACTGAAAAAGTTCATCAGGCATAGTGAGGATCGGCTTGAGCAGTGTTACGCTTTGCGTCACCCCCTTCAAGTCAAGATGCTCGGTTGCATGGCTGCATCCCAAGCCAAATCCTTGGGCTGACTGACAACCAAAAAGGCTCTTCAACCTCTGCTTCCCAAGAACTTCTTTTGCGTTGTATGGAATACAGTTCAAGCCTTCTTTTGAGTGAAGCCATCAGCTGAGGGCACAGCTTTGGCCAAACCACTGTCCAATCCTATGTGGCTTTGGCCACGGGGTTCTGGAGCTCCATTGGCGCGAGCGGGTAGTGGTGGCAAGGGAATCTCAGCAGCATTTAGTGCTTGTTCATCACGTGTCTCTTTGCCCCATTAATTGCGCGCTCATGAATTCTCCAAGCCAAATGCCCTGCCGTACTCGATTGGAGAGAAGCTCCAATCCTTAACCTCTAACGTCGTCTTCAGTGATGGAGTGCACCCAGGTTAAAGTCATGGGGGATCGTGAGGAACGAAGTCCCGGCGCTAGACAAAGCGAAGTGCTCGGCACAAACAGGTTCTCGACGGGAGGGCCCTCGTGGACCAAACAGTCACGGAGACATGAACATGTGGAGTGGTTGACAACGCTCGACCTCATGCAATCCATGCGCACGAGTGCTTTGACAGCAACATCACCCTCCTCTCCTTGGCTTGGGCTTTGATACCATTCCTCAACCGTGAAGATGTCTCCGCTCTTCTTGCTGGAGCCCTTTTTACCCATGTTGTTGATGGTGGACCCTTGAATGGCTCTGGACTGACTGGACTTAGTTGCGTGAGCTTCCCACACTCGCTCCCCCACCGATTGATGTAGTCCTGGATGGATTCTCCTGGCTTGCTTCGACCACGTTCAAAGAGGCACCGGCGCAGCGAAGCTGGAGAGCTTTGGCTCCGCTACGAACAGCGCAGTGCAGAGGATGAGGCTCAAGCCCTGTTGTGTGAAATGTCCATGACTCGAACCCAACTGGTCCAGGTTGGTGAACTTTGTTGAACCCACTATGCTAGGACCCCTCGGGCCTTGGGTGTCTTGCTGAGATTTCAGTGTGGTAACACGGTTTGAACCTTCCAGACCACATGCTACGCGTGACCACTCCTCGAATCTAACTTTATGGATGATCAGTGTGTGTATCAGGCGTACAAGTATGGCCTTGTGACATCTTCAAACGCCCGATGGCCCAAAAGAAATGTCCTTCTGGGAAAGCTCCACCTCATCCACCATTGGCACAGCGCAAGCTACTTTAAGGCTAGACTATAAGTGGTTAGTCATTGCACGTTCAAAAATGAGAGCGCTATGGTAGGTCTAAAGTGAACGTGGTTTTTTTTACGTGGTAGTCATGAAATGGGGTCACACTTGCTCTGACTGACTCTCTCTCTCTCTCTCTCTCTCTTGTCGATGCCGAAGATGTTTGCCGCAAATTGCGGCCGACACAGCAAAAAAAACATGTACATGTCAAAAGTGTACAAAGAACCTGTACCATTCTGACAATGTCTCCATGACTTATGGCGGCTTGATGTTCCATCTGCGGGCCCAGCTCAAGAGAGCTAGCAACCAAGTCCCACTTTCCCATGGCACAACATCACGGGCTATGGACCCTAACAACTTGTAGTGAAGTAAAGCCACTGTTTTCCCACGGGGGCTCTGCGCTTGACCGCACAATCACTTGAGGAGGCCCCAATCAGGCCTCTGACTCTGCTGCCCAAACAAAAGCCCCAATCAGGCAATGTTACAAACCGTGCGCGATAGAATGGACAACAGTACTTACCGGACCAACGGTCGCTGCAGAGTTTTTCCAGCAAAAGGAGGCCTGTCTCAAAAGACTGGTGGAGTTTCATGCCTCCGCGCACCGGTCAATTGTAGCGCCTTGTTCAAGGTCTGCGCAAACATTCAAATTGTGAGATCTACGTCAAAGGAGAGCTCCAGGAGATATGCGAATCAAAGCGTCTTACATTTTTTGTTTTACAATAGAGGCAAGGCAACGTCACCGCCAAGGCTTGAAAAACAGGGTTCTCTCCTCGGAATCACCAACAAGGCCCCGAGGCTGTGCCTTAAGATACTCTATCGCGTCACATCGGAGGAAGCGCTTCAAATCATTTCAAATCACCTGCGCGTGACACCGCGTGCGGTTTATTGATAATTTGGGCTCTGAAAAACACACCTGTCACCTGTCATTCCACCAAAGCCTCCAGTCCAGCTTGCCACCAAAACACAATGAAGGGCTCGCCCGCCCGCCCTGTGATTGCCGCCCCTTGATACTCTTGATGCACTCAAGCCTCGTAGCCGACAAACTCAGGACAGCTGGCGACCAACCTCAAATGCAAATGGTTCGACTCCGGTTCTCTACTGTCTCCGTTAGCAAACAGAAACACTGAGAACAAGTAGCAAATAGCATCTTTGCAGCGCCATTAGAAGCAACATGCACGTTATAGCCGGGGACCAGACCGCACACATGTCAAGGTGTTTGCGCTTTCGACGTGTTTCCACGCAAAGCAGCTCAACATGCAACAAAATTACAACAGGTTAGAGTATGGTAGTGCCAACTCTTTGCCGCCCTTCTTCCACGGAAACTCGATTGTTATCCTAGGGTTGTAGGGGGTCAAACGACATCCATATGATCCTTAGGTGGGCAAACCCACACAAACAAGACCATTGTGTTGGGAACGACGTTGTTGAATTCCAACTCCCTGATATAATATGGAGGCACTGCCATATTGACACAACGTGCATCAAACACACAACGATCGAAACAAAACCAAACCTAAACTGCTGCACCATTCAGGTATTCTGCGCGTGTTCATAGTTATATTTGCAAAGCAACGTCGTACAGTACCATGGACAGCTGTTTTTTAATTGAGTTGGATGTCGGAGAGACAGCTGATACATCAGTTTACTTTTGTAAAACTGCATCGTGCAAGTTCGCACAAACGCAGGCCCTGTACAAGGCGATCACTTTTTTTGAAGCACGATGCTTTGGCGCCCGACATTTAAAGAAATGTATATCTTCAATGTATCTATCCATTCCGCGGTATTGAGGGCTCCACTGCAACCCGTTTTGTCGGGCAAGGCGGCTCGTCCAAGTTCAAACCTAGATGCGGCATGGCAGCTGTTGGGAATGCATTGAAAGCCAAAAACACTCACACTGGCAACCTGGAACCTTTGATTTCCGGGACTTGCTTAAGTATTGTCCAATTGCCAGGGCCAAGCCCTCTATGAGTTGCTGGGCTGCGTGCAACCATGTGTTGTCTTGATTCTCAAATCTCTCCGCAAGTTGTTGAAAGATCGCATTTGCACCATCTTGCATTTCTTATGCTTCGCGACAAAGACCGGCCGCACCACCCACCAAAATTGTTCCAAAGAGCAAGCCAGAACAAAGCAAATGCAAGACATAACCTCAGCTCTGGGTGTCGCACAAAAAGTGGCGCACAGGGTGTGGGTGTGTGTGTGTGTGTCACACCCTGGTTCTAAGGGTTTTCCACCTTTTCTTCTTTCCTCTACCACAGAGGCTGTTTCCATTTTTCCACTGATGCAGGGGGCACGGAGACTGATTTCCCATCCGTGCCAACGAAGCTACGGAAATCAGTTGGAAGAGAGCTGGGACGCTGGCTCTTGTACCTGCCAAGAACTTTTGCTCACGCTGTCCACTCATTTGGTTTGTTTTCATGGTGTTTCATGTCTTCCTTCCCTTAAACAGGTTTCCCACCGCACCGTTCAGCAACTTGAGCCTTGCACTTTCACCGCGCGAGTGAAACTTTTGTTAAACAATACAAGTCACCGGACCCTTTCGCCTTGCTGTTCCATCACCTTCCTTCCCAACGTGGCAATTGAGTCTAACTGAAAACCCAAGTTCGAAGTGTGGACCGCTCAGTCTTCCCACATGGGTACTGGGTGTGAACCTCCGAAAGGAGGCGCCGACGCCATTCCGGATTTCATCGACCCTGCTTGTTCATAACTGACCTTTTGTTCCTTCAATTTATCTCTGAATTTCCTGATTTTCGAGCCGCCGGGCTATAAACGAAGGGTTTCATCGTGATTACCCGACTCATTTGGTTCTGCACTGTCATGACGTTGTTCATTGCATTTCCCAACTTTTTAACCCGCAGCCATTTGATCGACGATCAACGTACACATGCTCACATCCCCGAGATTCCACTGCATGCCGAGATTTCACCTTAATTAATTTTTCACAGCACACGTTTTCAGGTTCCAGAATTCACTGCCATTTTCAATTCTCTCACCTCCGCTGCTGTGCCGCGCCGGCGCCATTGGTCGCAGCCTTTTGGATTGGCCTCTCCATCGCTCGTCCCATGCAGTTTCCCTGGCCATATCCACAATGGCCACCACCGTGTACCGCATCCACAATACCCACTGTCAGCACTCAACCACCACCCTGGCACCATCCTCTACCACCGGCACCTGTCCCCACTGTTCTGTCTCATAGCAGTCACTCCTCCCTCACTTTCAGACCGCTCCACCACAACTGCCACCTCCTACGTGGCCACATCCCATGCCAACACCTCCTCCACCGGCACCAACTTTTGTACCTCACACACATGCATATCCAGCACCACCTCAGATGCAGACATTTGAAACCATGCCAGCACAACCTTTCCACCACCCACCCTCTTTGCAACAGGCATCACCAGCCCCATCGGCTCCACCAGCTCCGCAAGCACCACAACCACAACCACCAATCCAGCAAGCTCCTGTTCATGGAGACCACCTTCAAGGCGTTTGGCAGCCTTACTCCCTCTTTCCACCCGTTGCTCACCCGTCGCCACATCAAGCATCAGCCCCACCCACCGTTGTTCCTTCTGCTCCAACACCCCCCGCGGGGGCACCCACGCCGCCCGCTTCGGACGTTCTGAACGTCCCCCCACCAGCCAATCCCACTCAGGCCACCACTACCACAACCGCTACGCCACCCTCCACGTCACCAGCCACTCACTTTGTTCCACCACCAGCCACCGCAGCAGAGGCCACAGCCGACGTCGTCGCCGCCACCACAGTCGCCATACACGTGCTAAGCACGCCGGACGTCACCGCTCTCCTGCAGCCTCCACTACCAAAGCGTCGTCGACACGCCGCCGGCGTCGCCGTTCCCCTTCAACCTCATATACCACATCTTCGGACAGCCGTTCCCGCAGCCGCTCCCATGCACCCATCACCCTCCGACCCAATCAGCAGTCTACACCTCAGCACCACATCACAAACATGTTCCAAGCAGGCTTCCCCAACGTTCCAGCAATACGACGGCCCCATCCGCCTTGGAAGCCACACCCACCACATTTCCACCGGCTTCCCCACCAAGAACAGATTGCATGGTGGCTTGACTTTCACGCTACACAATTGGAAGCAGAGAACAAACCACAACACGCATACGTAGCCAAAATGCTCGCTGACATCGGCTACACCATCGATGATTTGGCCGATTTCCGTCAACTCAACCATGTGAAGTGGAATGACACCACCAATACTTATGACACTTTCTCCTACCACTGTATCAACATTCCCAGTCTGCTCGACAAGGCCAATCGCCCAATACCACCGCCTGCCACTCGTGCCACCTCCACTACCCCAGAGACAGTGCACATCAACGCCGGTCACACAGGCCCCCACGGCAACATCACTGCCATTCTACAACAGGGCCGTTTCCTGCCCAGCACCCATGACTTTGACGCCAACCCGGGTTTCTTTGCCCAAGCCACACGCATTACTCACCAGCCAATCCACGACAACTACGAACAGGCCCGCGTACTACATAACACGTGGAAGCTGGCAAAAAACATCCATTCTATCATGATCCATCTCCTCGCCTGGGGTCGAGGGACCAAATTTACCAGCGGCGGCGAAGCCCAAGCCATGCACCTCTTGCAACAAGACCATGGCGCTGTTTGCCACTCAAAAGCCCGACGCTGGGCGATTCACCCCCATAACGCCATAGTCAAAGGACTGGCGTGGTCTATCAATGCAACACCTCCGGACCTTTGAGGTTCCGCCACCTACCACAGACCTACCCACCTTCTTCAACACCAATGCCAACTCCACACATTTGAGAGAGGCCCTTCCATGAGTTTCACATTCGCCACCAACTCCAGCTTTGCAAAATCCGAGCTCCAGTCTTTGTATCATTGCGTTATGCTCACATGCATTGCATTTTACTCTCGTTGTACATAGCTTGCACTTACTCTAACCGGCAGCCAGTTTTGGTGCTCATTTTGTCTATTGATCGATTCTTCGTGCATGATCGCTCAGTTCTTTTTAGGTTTTGCGGATTGCGGAATATTTGTTGACAATGTTCTTCTTTTCATGCAAGGACAAACTACAGTTTGTGTCTTTTTCTTGTCAGGCTGTATTGTTTCAGCCACCCACTATGTATCTCTGTCTGTCCCGCAAACTTCGTGCTCAATAATTCATTTTCGTAATTCAATTGCATGCTTCGCATGTCTGCACCGGCCGCTCATGCAGTGCTGACACCTGCGCTGCGCCATCCGCTGCTCCAGCATACCACTTCAGCTGCCTAACCTCGACGCTGCTCCTCAAGATTGCCCTCAATCAGCTTCATCGTATACTCCAGCAAGCGACTGACATCCTGGCCAACTTACACAGCCTTTATCTTGTTCACACACAGCAGGTCGACCCCCATTTTCACCGACCTTTTCCGGCCCTCCCTCCAGCTCCCCTTACAGCAGTTCCTATCCCTTCCCGCACTTCCTCCTGTGATTCAGCTCCTGTGGCCCCCATCAAACATGCACCACCACAGCGTGCCCCTTCACAAGCATCCTCAACCTCCACCTCTCCACCAGCACTGCCACAACACAAGAAGAAACGCGAACCTCCACCACCCCTCAACGAAGATGCTGATTGGGACGCTTGGGATGGCGACGCTGAAGTTCGCCTTGTGGAACTCAAGACAGACACCCGCCTGCGACCGAATTGGAATTATGTTGCTCGTCGGGTGGGCTTCTCAATTGAACAGTGCAAAGCACGCTGGGAAGAACTTCAAGAAGCACAACGCCAACAACAAGCAAGCATCCCACCGCCCTCACCTACTTCACCCGTCCACACTCCACCACCTCTTTCCCCTGTACCTTCACCTCCCTCCGCAGCAGCAATCCCACCACCGGCAACCCCTTCAGCTCCGGATTTCTCGTACACTCCTACAACACCTCCATCACCTGCACCGGCTGCCGCCGCCATGGCCGATGCTATGCCAGCAATCATCAGTGAGGACAGTCATCCGGAACCAGCAGCAGCTGATATTGGTAGCTATTTTGTGTTTAGTCTCCGTTTCACCCAGCTCCCCTCGGCGCGCCTGTCGCAAACAACTTCCATGCACAACTCAACCATTGCGTGCAGGCCCTTGAGGTTCTGCCGTGTTCCTCATTTTTTGAAACCCAATCAGTCTTTCCAGCCATGCCACGGCATTGCACAGCTGACTACCGCAATTTTGAGTTTTCCGAGATTTGATCGTCAGTCCACCTCATGCCACCGCAGCCATTTTCAACCTCTCGACTGCTTTGAGTGTACAGATCGTTTTTTCGTTCATCATGGCCCCAGCTGACGTCGGACCGCCTCGCGCCCCGCGGTCCCCATCTGCAGAGCAGATTTCAGCCACCGAGACACACTTTCTTCCAGACAACCCTCCTCCACACCTGACTCCTTCACTTACCCACCAACCTGAACTTCTCTACACGCAAGGCCTTCTCGACAGCCTTGCCAACGTGGTTACCCAGATCCTCAATCACCCCATGATTGACAGTCCCGTACCAGACCACACTCTTTTCACCGATGCCGATGCCTTTCGGCTGTACTTTCAGTACCACCAGAGTGTCACTGAGTTAGCCAGGATTACCATGCGCCTCAAACGCGCCAGCCGATTACTTCAATTTCTACCAGGGCCTCCAGGCCATCCAGGCAGCTACCGTGTCAACCCTTTAGCACACTTTCCACCTGACACCACTGATTTCCTGGCCGATGACGTACGCACTTTCTGTCCACCTCCAAATCGACACCACCGTCATCGACCCAATCGCCATCGTCAGCCTGAACCTTATGGCCCTGCAGCCAGAGACCGCTCACGGTCCAGGGACAGCCCAGCATTCTAGCCCACCACTTCAACCTCCACTGGAGTGAGCCGCTTTGTATATACTCTTTACATCGCTAACTGGACAACAGCTGTGCTAAAGATCGAGCACCATGTTTTCTCACCTGCACTGCTCTCTCACACCGTCGTCAACACTTTGCTGAATGTCACGTTTATCACATGTCAGCCTCCGCAGCCGTTTTGTTGAGATCGCACGTTGACAGCACCCTTTGCCCGCCTGTGCAGCTATGGCTGATTCCGGTTTTGGCTCTACTTCACCAGCGGCCGGCCCTATGACAGTGGAGGG